ATAAAAATATATAGTCAGAAGTTTAAAAAAATAAAAAATATATTAGAAAATTATAAAAAATAATTAAGAAACTTATTTTTGTAAAACACGTTAATAAACAACATCCAAAAAATAATTAAAAATATATAATAATTATTTGTGATGTAGTTGAAGTGAGATAAAGTTTTGATAACTATAAAAAAAATTAATAATAAAATGGTGGGATTATTAAAAGTGGGGTAAGTATAATATTATCCTTTCAAAATTTATAAATGAAAGTTTGTTAGTTTATTTTGTTTATTTACTTAAATTTAAAAGATTAAAAAAAATCAATTTTAATAATTAATTATTTTTCTTATTTTCTTATAAATCCAAAGTTCTTAAATATTTAAATATTTATATTTAATTTCTTTTAATTAACCCAAGTAATACATGGATCTTACTTCTAGCTAGTACTATTAAATATCATTTGTCAGTAGTTAAAAGTTATAAATACATGATGTTATTAATATAGATCATTACGTTTCACTGCATCAAATCATTATATGTTAGTTATTACAATCCATATTATTCTTCAAATTTCAAGATCACACCTTTACCTATGTGGCATGGTATTATTGTCGTCAGCATCATGTGTGACATAGATAGCTGGCGGCAAACACCAGCCCGTAACCTTTAATATTGTCGGCATCATTTTACCAGTGGCACACTTTTTGCCATTCTCTCTCCTTATCTTCATCTAAACACCCCTTTCTCTCCTTTTTACCTTATTTTTGGTTATGAACACTACATCCTATATAAAAAAATGGCAAACATGTCAAGATCAATAAGGTGGAACTAATATAGAGTGTGGTGACACCGGCACCCACCATCAAGCCTTATAAGGATGGATGAAGCCGGGGCAAAAACCTAAATGACTTCGCCCCTTGAGGGGGTGTGCAGTGGCGGGTTTAGGGGGTTCCGGGGTGGCACGGGTAACCCCTAAAATTTCCGACCGCAGTGGAAAAAATTTCGAAATTTTATAAAATTTTTTATTTTTTCTACTATCGTGCAACCCCTAATCTTCCTGTGTAATCCCTACTATGAAATTTTGATCCGCCTCTAGGGGTATGGTGGTGAGTGGCTTTGGTAGCCACACAACTTTTTCTTTCTTAACTTGTATATTTGGCTTTGGTACTTGCACATTAAGAGAAGTGGATTGGGAGGGTTTAGAAAAATGGATATTTTGAGTTGTGGTTTGGAAATATGAAAACCAATGTAGATATAAACAAATGATGTGTCATTTATATAGCAACTAGGTTGGGAGCGGTGAAATGAATTGTATTTAAATATTTTTAACAATACGGTAGCGGTTTATTTGGTTATTATAATACAATGTTTAAATTAACGATGGCTACATTTTTATTTTTAGATGTACTTAGGGATGTCAAAAAAGTTCTGTGGAACCCCGTTCCCGTGGGGGATCCCGTCCCGTTTGGGGATTTTTTTAAAAAAAATCAGGAGCGGGGACGGGGGCGGGGGCAAGGTTAACCCCCGTTTTAATTTCGGGGACGGGGGTAGGCAATCCCGTTCCGAAATCCCCATGGGGACCCCGTTAATAAATTACACATATATTTACATATATTAATTATATAAATATAATAAACAATAATATGATTTTGAGCTTCCAAAATTCATCAAAAAACATGTTTTTAAGTTGTTAGTATAATTTTTTAAAATGCCATAACTTTTTTGTTTTTAACATATAAAATTCTGTTATAAATAATTATTTGTTACCTAAAAAATAGCTTATTTTAACCAAAATAACAACTTCTTTTAGCTCAAAAAAAGTAGCTCAAAATCAATTGGGGGTGGAGGAACGGGGGCGGGGGCGGGGGGTAATAAAGGGGATTCGGAGGCGGGGGTAGGAACATTGAACATTCCGGGGGCGGGAGCGGGGGCGGGGGAACAGGAAAATTTCGGGGGCGGGAGAGGGAGATGCACTCCTCGCCCCGTTTGCCCCCGTTGACATCCCTAGATGTACTTTAAGGAAACACTCATTGTACTCTTGTAAAAGATGGGTGCTATTACATATATCTTCTTACTTACATAAGTCAAATAATAAGGATACACCTATATATTTAATGATTTTGACATAATATGTATACGATGTGGAAAGAGGTATTATGGATCCTTTGACTACCTACAATATCTATAATAAGGCACTAGAAGATTGGATCCAAATCTTATTACCATGTCCCATCATATAAGATTTTTGTATACTTTTTATTTGTTTATTGTGTATGTGTTAAAGAATGAAATCTAAAAGTTAAGATCCGTAGATTATTGATAGGAGATCTTAGTTGATTCGATTTGTTAGGCGATTCAAGAGAAGTATGGTTCAGCATTTTTTTTTATCTTCTTTTTTTTTTTTTTCTTTTTTTTTTTTTAAAGAATCTTTATTTAATATTAAGCTAAATAGAAACAAAATTCTGATTAGTTTTGAGTTGGCATATTTATATTACAATTGAAAATTGCTTTGTTTTTAATCGAGTTTAGTCTTAAACGCCAAACTAAGTATTAGGATTTGTTTTGCAAAACTAGTTCCTAGCTGGAAAATTGTAACTTTTATTTATATAAAAATATTCGGAAAAAAGGTAAAGGTTAATTTTCAAAAATGTAAAATGACTAACATAAAACTAAAAGCTAAAAAATTATAAAAGTTCTCAAAATCTATTTGAAACAGTTTTTTTTTTTTTTTTTTTTTTTTTTTTTTTTTTTTTTTTTTTTTTGGTCTAAAATATAGTTTTGAAATCGTACTATCGAACAATATGTATTATTTAGGGATAATGACTTGAAAGGGTAACGAACTTTCGACTTTTGTCACATTTAGTCACTAAACTTTTTTTCGTTATCTATTTGCCATTGAACTATTAAAACTGTTCACATTTTACCCTTATGACCGGCTGTTACCGGTCATAAGGGTAAAATGTGAACAGTTTCAATACTTTAGTGGCAAATAGATAACGAAAAAAAGTTTAGTGACTAAATGTGAACAAAATCGAAAGTTCGTTTCCCTCTAAAAACTTCAATGACTAAATGTGAACAAACTTCCTAGTATTATGTTTTAGCAAAATTATTTATTTTTGTTTAATTGTAGCAACATTTATTGATGAAGAAATCTATGAAATAAAAAAAACAAAATGTAACATCCGGATTTCTAGGTATCATAATTTAAGTATTTTTCTTTTGAGTTAAGAAGAGAGACTCGACGAGTTGACGCCTCAACTCGTCGAGTAAGGTCGTGACTGATGACTCGGATTAATGAATGGACTCGACGAGTCCGCGCTGTTGGCAGAAACCCTAAGTCTTTGGGCCCGAGCCATATTTAAAGGCACTCATGGCCTTCAATTGCGACTACATTTCTCATAAGTGAGAACTCTAGCGAGCTTGAGTATGTAAAGTGAGAGGAAGAGTTATCTTGAACTTTTTGGTGTGATAGATCTGGACCCTTCTAGGTCCAAAAAGCCGAGAATATGAAGCTTTAGTAGAGTAAACCTTGGGGTTCGAAGTTAGGAAGCATAACCTTAACCAGCAATGTGATGAAATAAAATGATGAGAGATAGGTGATGATAATTAGGTAAATAGATGATGATGAATATGTGATGTAGGATGAAAGGAGATACCATAACCTTAACCAACAATGTGGCGATGTAGTAATCTACCAGAGTATAGATGGCGACCACGGACTATTCTAGACAACCCAGTGGAAACACCAGCAGACCCATAATCTGTAGGTGATGAATTACGATTTCAGGCGATGTTGTAACTACGTATTCATGCGATGATACTCTAACCCCTTACTATGAATTACGAGTTCAGACGATGTTGTAACTACATATTCATGGGATGTCACAAATTTCGCATGTCAAACCAATGGTTATAATTCACATCAGTGAGAATGGTTTATTTTTTTGTAAAACCAAAATCAGATTGGAAATTTTAATTTTTTATTTTGGAAAATGTCAAACCATTGGTTTTTTATTTCGGTTTTGGTTTTTTGTTTTTTTTTAAATATATTTTCAGGGTTTTGTTTTTTTTTTTTATTTTTTGTTTTTTTTTTTATTTTTTTATTTCATGGATTTCTTCATTAACAAATGTTGCTACAATTTAACAAAAATAAATAATTTGGTAAAACATAATACAAGAGGAAGTTTGTTCACATTTAGTCATTGAACTTTTTAGAGGGAAACGAACTTTCGCTTTTGTTCATATTTAGTCACTAAACCTTTTTTCATTATCTATTTGCCATTGAACTATTGAAACTTTTCACATTTTACCCTTATGACCGGCAACAGTCGGTCATAAGGGTAAAATGTGAACAGTTTCAATAGTTCAATGGCAAATAGATAACGAAAAAAAGTTTAGTGACTAAATGTGACAAAAATCGAAAGTTCGTTACCCTTTCAAGTCATTATCCCTATTATTTATTGCAAAAAATCATGATGACTTTTAAAAACACGTTGCTAAACATGCCCTTTAAATACTGTTTCGATTTGAGTTTCAACCCAAATGTTAAGAGCAATTACACAACCATTTTCTTTAGACTTTTCTCTATTTTGTGATTCTTTATAACCAGTTTTAAACACTTCTTACAAGTTGGTATTTTGGTTCCAAATAGACCATTTTTGCCAAATTAAAATTTGACAAAATTTATGTAATTCATATCATTACAAAAACACTTCACGTTTGTACGTATAACTAAAGTAATATGAAAATACAAAGTATTGTCCAACCACCAATCTAATTGATGTAATTCATACAAAGTCTTTCTTTTATGGTGCATTTGTTACATTTTGTATTGAATAAAACAGACATTCACATCTTTATTAGTATTAATCTCAATCTCAATCCCATGAAAACATAGTTTATAGTACCAGAGTTTCAAGTTGAATCACGTCAAAACTCAACAAATATAATAGTACTACTTTAATAAACTCACAATTTGACTATTAATCTTAGAAACAATTTAACCTAAAATAATAACATTTAAAAAAAAAAAAAAAAAGCAAGGGATCCCAGTCGTTCATATTCACCTTTTATATAAAGCTAACACCACATCCTATATAAAAAACACGTAATTAAGGACAAACTTGAGTTAACTACCTTCTATGTAAGTAAAAAAAATAAACAAAAAACCAAAAAAAAAAAAAAAAAAAAGATGGGAAAATTTGTGGCAATTGACCATTTCAATGAGTTTTTAGCGGCTTGATGATGACGATGGTTCCTCACCAAGAACTTCCACGTTGCAAATAGGACATGTCTAAGAAAAAAAAATAATAAATAAAGCTAAATTCAAGAAATAGCATTTTAATTTATTTTATTAATTTATTACCTTGTTGATGCTAAGCCATTTTGATCCACATTCGGTATGATAAACATGCTTACATGGCAAATTGATTTGCTTGTCCCCTCTCTTGTATCTCATTTGGCAAATCACACACCTGCTTTAGCATTCAAAATTTGCTTTTATATTAATGAATCTTGAACAGTTTTTTTTTTTTTTTTTCCTTATTATAGTTTGTATTTGGATCACATTGCTATAAATATAATTGAGTAGATTTTTCAACGCACAATGAAAACTTTGGGAGGGAAAACGAATGAAGAAAAGTTGTAAGAAGAATGAAATCAGATATATGAAGTTTAATTAATTGGTGGAATAATTTTATAAAAGTTTTAGAATATTACTTAGTAATTACCTCTCTCCGGATTTTTTTCTTAAGAAGAAGCCACCAGACTTGTATCTTGTAGTTGGAAGGGAATCAATTAGGTCTTGAGAAAGACCTCGACTTTCTGTCCCAATTGCCTCTCCTAAATCAAGTAATTCCTGCATCATCAGTAAAACACTTTTAAATATAATCCTACTTTCATTCAATAACATAACTTTAAAGAAAATTTGTCTTGCAGTTTTTGATTATATTATCCTACATTCATTCAATAACATAACTTTAAAGAAAATTTGTCTTGCAGTTTTTGATTATATTACTTAGAGTAAATTACTGAAATCGTCCCTGTGGTTTGATCAAAATTGCACGTTTGGTCCCTAACTTTTTTTTTGCACTCGGATCGTCTTTGTGGTTTGCTTTTGTTGCGTTTTTCGTCCCTATGGTTTGGTAAAAGTTGCATGTTTGGTCCCTAACTTTATGTAAGGGAGGAAAAATGCAACAAAGTCAAACTATAGAGACGAAAAACGCAACAATCAAACCACAGGGACGATCCGAGTGCAAAAAAAAAGTTAGGGACCAAACGTGCAATTTTGACCAAACCACAGGGACGATTTCAGTAATTTACTCGATTACTTATAATGAAAAGAATAGAAATAACAAATTAGCCAAAAAAAAAAATCAATAGCAAACCTCGTATGTCATGTTGTCTGGATCGATGTCATCCTGCCAAACAACCTGCAATGCACAAAACATCTTAGCAATTTGTTTCTGTATTATATAGAATACTACTTTCATTTCTTTGTATTACAATATTGTAAATTTGTAATTATAATTTTATGTTTTTTACTTTTTTTTTAATGCGTTGTATTTAAAGAAATATACCCAAATTTAGCTTTCCACTTTCAACTTTTTCATACTAAGACATTTTGCTTTGAAAAATCTACTCAATTATAGCAGTGAAGTAGGATATGCTACAATAAACAAATTAATGAAAGTATATATTGCTATTTTTTGCATTTCACCCGATAAGAGTAAATTACTGAAATCGTCCCTGTGGTTTGGTCAAAATTGCACGTTTGGTCCCTAACTTTTTGTTTGCACTCGGATCGTACCTATGGTTTATTTTTGTTGCGTTTTTCGTCCCTGTGGTTTGATTTTGTTGCATTTTTCGCCCCTTACATAAAGTTAGGGACCAAACATGCAACTTTTACCAAACCATAGGGACGAAAAACGCAACAAAAGCAAACCACAGGGAGGATCCGAGAGCAAAAAAAAAGTTAGGGACCAAACGTGCAATTTTGACCAAACCATAGGGACGATTTCAGTAATTTACTCACCCGATAATAATCTTGATTATAGACTCCACAAAAGAATGCATAAAAGGCAATGAAGATAAATAAATAAATAAATAAAACTTAATACCTGAGAACTAGAAGCACTGTCATGATTTGGGCTACCTGAAAAATACAGAAAGATAGCTGATCATTCACCAGTGCTGATATGAAGATTTAAGTTCAAAGCTAAATGCAAAAGACATATCAACACACTTTCATTTATCTGTGCATTATATTATAGCATCCTATTTCATTTCTTTCTATTAATTTACAACATTGTATTTTCAACTTTTCTATATTTGAAAAATCTACGCAATTGTAGAAATGAAAATTGCTTTGCATTTGGATGACATTGCAATAACTGTAAGAGGAAGAAACGAAAGCATGATGCTATAATAAACAAATAAAAGAAAGTACATTGCTATTTCTTGAAGCTGGAAACATAAAAACAGGAACTGACATTCTTCAGGAATAGCTTGCATGCTTGGAACTGAATTCTCAGCTGATTGAACATCTGTGGTAACAGGTTCTGTGACATTCATCATTACAGGATACTCCCATGCACTGCGATTCATATCCATTCTTGGTGCATAATTGTGAGCTTCATATGGATCATAATAAGGTACATTTCCAATACCAGGTAATCCGTATTTGTATGAACTCATATTCATTGCCCAATATGCATGCTCCTAGAAGAAGTATGAAATGAAACTCTTGTATCAGTATCACATAGCAGAAAGCCATGTAAAGAATCATTATCATACTTCTAAAAGGGTAATGAATTGTAAAAGTAAAATAACCTGATCATGGATAGGACCCGAATGAGGAAAATGTGCAGTTTGATGTGAAATTCCATCGAAGAAGTCCATGAAGCTCTCAGGGACTGTGTATGGGAATCCTGTGTTTATGTAATGGACTTCCATTTGTCGATTTCCATTTCCATCCATTGTGGATGATAATTTTAATGATCTTTGCTAAAGAAACTGACAAGAGAACTGCATTAAAACACCTTTTTCAGAATGCAAGTTAACTATGATTTCTGTTATAAAGTTAAAACTCCACAAGAAACAACCAAATATATCATTCAAAATGTCTCCTACATGGCATGTTCTTCCATAACCCTCTAGAAATAAGATCATCAAATATGATATAAAAGATAGAATCCAATCAGCACTTGAATATAAACCAACATATATCCAAAATTTGGAAAAGCTGAAATCAAGTTTATGGATGCCACTTCTTTACATAGACTTCTTAAATAATGTAACAGAGACAAAATGCAAAACAAAGTAACTAAGCTGGAGTCATAAAAATTTCATCTCAGATATGAATCGTAAAAGTCAAAACGTTAATTAATTTCGTGTATGGAAACAAATTAACAGAAAACAAGTGCCTCAACCAGAGAAAACCTAATACAAACATCGAGCTCAGTTTTTACATGTAGCAGAAACCAACACAGTTAGGAAATAGTAGCGTATTGTTCATCTTCTTTACCCTCTGTTAAAGAAAATACCTAAAAAAAAAATGTTACATTACACAATTCAAACTAGGTTCATGCTCAACTTAACAATTTGCTCAAACAAAACGGCAGTAAAAAATTCAAGTCAACCAACGTGCTAGGGCGAGAAACAAGCACACGCAGTTAGTCTAATTCCAACAAGAAACTGCTATATTCACGCCTTTTTCACCTCAACGCCCTCAAATTACAGCCCAGAACACAGAAATTCGTATCGAAATCAACCAATTCAAACACCGCTTACCGGTTTGATCAAACAAAATCCGAAGTAACACCGAATTTTACAGGCAGAATACCAGAAACAACCGCCGGTAGCCTCATTCATACATCAACATTTCCCCGTTGACACACTCGAAGATAAAATAAAAAGGAAATCAACTCTCAAAACGATCACTATATCATAAACGAAAAAAAAAAATCACAAGCGATTGAACAGATACATACAGCAATCACACATTACACATAGTAATATGCATATCTCTACATACGTATACATATACTGAGACTAGAGAGAGGAGAGAGAAATAGAGAGAGATGACGAACATTGTACCGGTGGTTGGTCGGCCGGAGCAGAGGAAACGGACAAAATGAAAAAGTGAAAGGGGAAAAGAAAACTCTTGGTTGATCTTCCACACAGTATATGTGTGTGTTTTTGTTTTTCTCTCTCTCTATATATGTATAGATACAGTAAACATATATAGACGGAAACTGTGACTGTCACTCTATCTCATCCGTTCTGTCACAATCTCCTTTCTCAACACTATTTTGGGGTGGGGGTAGTGTGGTGTGTTGGGTTATATGCGAACTTTTGATTCACGCAATCCGCCCTTATATTGAATAACATTTACCATTATTATTATTATTTTTTTTACTAATTTATAAAATTATTCATTAATTATTTTTTAGTTATAACGTGTGGACACGGATAAAAAATATAAAATTAATTTTAATTAAATTATAGTTAACTATTGACCAATGGTAATAAAAAATTAAATAATTTATAAATATACTTGTTTTGTTTGTAATTTGATAATGATAGGTTGAAACTACGAAATCATAATAGTTTGAATATCTGATCGAGAATTTGTAATTGTAGATATGTTAGAAAATTATGATTTTGTCTAATGCAATAAAATTATGAATATAGTTTTAAAAATGAAAATATTCATGGAAATGACATTATATGAAATTTAAACTATATTGTTATATAAGAGAAATAAATACATAGAAGAAAATAACTATATATTCAAATGGGGATGTAATGATCATATACTAATAATAAATAAGAATATAAATAATAAAACTGTACAAAATGTTTATAAATCAAAAGTTTTATATACAAATATCATGATAGCAATGGATGATGATGAATGAATCGAGTTTTATCTAAAGTTAGAAACCAAACCATAATTTTTTTAAAATAACATATCAATAAAAAAATCTATCTATAAATCTACATACCTAGGTAAGATTATCAAACTGACTAATAATACCCACTACATATACAAATATTCCTATGAGTTATAAGCAAACATCAATCTAAGAGTCCAAGTTCACAAATAGTCACTTTGTCTAGACCTATAATGGTCATCCTTTTTACAAATATTCATTTTATATTAAAAAAAAAAAAGCCATCACCAAGTCTTCACTAATAACGTTTAAAGTTTAAAGTAACATTAAATTTTACTACTTGCACTCAAAAGACTGTTATTGCTAAATACAAGAATATACTTTCATTTGATTTGCAGAAATTCAAATTAATGACCATTAAAGGTGCTATTTTGAGAAAATATAACAATGCACTTTATTTCATATTTGTTAAAACTATTAAGATGACAAAATAAGGGTTGATTTGAAGTAATTTAAAAAATGAACCATTAAGGGTGTAACACCGTAAATTTTCAAACAAAAATTTCATTTAAAATCACATTAATCTCATTAGTACAATCACAAAAATCCTCAAAAATATCAAGTTATCAAAAACACATGTTCAAAAATTATTTATAACATAATCCAGGATCCTCCAAACATATCTCCAACTCGTGTGTATACAATCAAGCTAGTGTCATCCCGTAATCCTAAGAGATACCTGAAACACATAACACATATCACGGTAAGCACGAAGCTTAGTAAGTTCCCTAAAATACAACACATATCTCATTACCTCTCATGGTTATGCTCGAATAAGACCCTTCATGTGACAACCGTCAAATTCTGGTCAATTCAAAGTCAAATAAAATCAACAAAGTCAAACCGGTCAACTCAACTAACCCTTGTGTACTAGGGCTTACGTTATGTATTTACTAAACAACTCCCTATTCTAATGAGAGATCATAAATCAAAAAGTGCGAACATCTAGATCTCCTTAACCTAAAACTGTGGTACGTGGCGAGCCAAACCGATAAAACAATGTTGCATACTCATCGGGAGTGTGTAAGATCCTTAAACAAGGCTTAACAGGGTTTACAAACCTTGCATTGCGAAGCCGGACACTCACAAATGCCAAACATGAAACCTCTCTCAATCGTTTTCACTCTATCTCTTCTTATCAAGAATCTCTCCCAAATCTCTCTAAGAATGTCAAATCTCTCCCAAATATCTCTTTGTATGAGAAATCTCTCCAAGTATGTGAAATCTCTCCCAAATATCTCTTTGTATGAGAAATCTCTCCAAGTATGTGAAATCTCTCCCAAATATCTCTTTGTATGAGAAATCTCTCCAAGTATGTGAAATCTCTCCCAAATCTCTCTGAAAAGTTTCCGTAACTTTTTGAAGTCATTTGGGTCATTCCGACCCTTAACCGGGTCAAAAACGGCTTAAAACGGGGTAAAAACGAGTAAAATAGGCTTAAGGACCTGAAACCCTCTTATAAGAGGCGAAACCTCTTAGAACCGAAACCAGGAGGACCGAAACTAGGAGACCCGAACCTGAAGGTCCTCTCAGGGCCAAACCTCGCCCAAGAGGAACCGAACCCGAAAGGTCCTCTCAGGGCCGAACCTCGCCCAGGAGGAACCGAACCCGAGCCCTCGCCTTCGCCTCTCAACTCTGATTCGCTTCCTTCGCTTCCTCGCCTCCTCTCGGTTCTATCCCTCTCTCCTCTTGGTTCTAGCATCAGAAGACCGAACCTCGGCCAGATTTCGGAATTTTGTCACTTTTAGCCCATTTTTGATATTTTTAACATTTTAAGCCCGTTTTTAATTATTTTAACGCGGGATTTTCACCCAAAATTATATTTTAACATAATAAACCCTAAATATTCACAATTTAATCATATTTTCATAGAAATCTTTATTTAAATAATAAAAGCTAGTGGGTAAAGTACAAAGAGGTGGATGTTGACTTTGCTTTATCTTATGTCACAAGCAACCACCCCCACACCCACTCTATGACCAACCATACCTCCCCACCTTACCTAGGTCACTTCAATGTCCCTTACACTCAATTACCACCCATTCCCACGTTTTTAGAGCTGGAACAAAACATCCTCTCTCCTCATTTCTCTCATTTGCTCTCATTTCACCAAGAATCAAACCCCACTTTTCTCTCAAACTTTTTCTCTCCATTTCAAGTCTCCAAGGCTGATTATCAAGCGTTCTTCCACTCTTGGTAAGCATAATTCATCCTCCTTGTGATTATTGCACTTCATTCTACTCAAATCATTGATTGCTTACACAAACTCCATAACTATGATGTTAGATTCTCGAAAATCTTCAAGGCATCTCCAAGTGTTCTTAAGCTAAACACTTCCATTCTTCTACAATCATATACTGAAATCACTTAAGGTGAGTTCATACCCCTATGTTTTAATGTTTTCTCAAGTTTTTAAGGGGGGGAATACAAGTTAAAACACCAAGAATATAACTAAACTTTTTTAACAGCCTTCATCTGGAAAAAAGTTCAACTCCATTCACGGACAGTTTGGACAACTTAAACATTTTATTTTTCAAAACTGTTTTAGGTGAAAGTAGTTCCACTTCTTAGCTTTAAAATGACTACTTGAACATCTCCACACGATTTTTCTACAATTTATGGTGATTTTTACAAAACAGTCTGTCTTTTCAAACACAAATCCGGACCAGTCTGTGAATATGAGTATATTAATACAAGTTAAAGGCTTCCAAAAATCATGATAAAAATCATGAGTAAACTAGACTCATTTTAGGAACTCTCAGAATTTACGGATCTAGTTTTCGACTTCGTATGATTTTTCTATGATTTTTCTAAAACAGTGCAGAAATGTTAAGAATTAGTTAACAGCTTCTAACTATCAAAACACTTTGTAACATGTTGAGCAAAGTGTTAAGTCTTTTATGACTTCATATATTACATGTATTTATTGTTATGATATATTTATATAATAGGAAATTACTTACTGAATTTATAAGAATCCTCCATCATAATCATTAGTACAAAACAAAGCAAGTTAAACATAGCTATATTGTATAATACATTTGACTTACATGGAAAGGGTTCTTGTACACCACAAATAAACATACTAAACTATAATGAGTATAGTTAGGTTGCATATACATTTCAAACATTTTAATAAACTATAATAGGTATAGTTTATGATCATTTACATAACACACTCGTACAAAAAGAAAGGGTACACATACAAAGTGTCGGGTTTATATACAAAAAAGGGGTTACAAATACAAGGTACCGGGTTTTTATACAAAAAGGGGTACAAATACAAAGTGTCGGGTTTATATACAAAAAGGGGTACAAATACAAAGTGCCAGTTTTTATACAAAAAGGGGTACAAATACAAAGTGTCGGGTTTATACACAAAAAATGGTACAAATACAAAGTACCGGGTTTTTATACAAAAAGGGGTACAAATACAAAGTACCGGGTTTATACACAAAAAAGGGTACAAATACAAAGTACCGGGTTTTTATACAAAAGGGGTACAAATACAAAGTGTCGGGTTTTTATACAAAAAGGGGGTACCGATACAAAGTACCAGGTTCACTTAAAATAGTTATTATGATATTAAAACTATATTAAATCTAGAATTGTTAGACTTCAACTATAATCGTTGAGCGTATAAGTTTGAGTCATATAAGAATTTAGTCTCGATTGGCTTAGAATTGGTGGGGCCCGCCTCATCTCCTGTTCCTCGTTGGGTTGTGGACCTAGGGCAGACTCACTATATTCAACGTTTTATCTAATTTAAACCTTATATAACTTATATACGTTGGAAGATTATAGGGGAACTCTACGAGTCATTCTAGGGTTCATTAATGCATCATATAGGAATATTTATATTCACACTTAGCTAAGAAAATATTGGATTTTCTGGAAATCAAACTATATCGATTTTACAAGGAAAACAGTTTTTACTTCAAACAAAACTCTTATGAACTCACCAACTTAATTGTTGACACTTTTTCAAAACTACTTGTATTCTCAGGAAATCAATGAAACAGGAAAACTTCAGCGCTTTGAGGATGGGACATTAAACCGTCAACAATTTACTTTTGTCATCATAATGTAATTGATTTTGAAACATGTAAACATATACTTTGGTGTAACTTTTTCAATTATATTTATGATGGTTGCATTTACTTTGAGCACTATTATACACGTTGTTGTGATATTGTACATGAAGTCCTCCACCCCCGGACGTTTCCACCATCCTTGGTTTGGGGGTGTGGCAGATTGGTATCAGAGCATTGTTTATAGTGAGCTAAGTATATCGAACCACATAAGATATACAAACTATAAATGCATTGGGACTAAGGTCTCTGATTTAAAGTTCAAAACAATTATACCTTTAGAAAT